TGCGAAGCGTCCCTCAGCATCATGGCCAAGACTTGATAACTGGCAGTAATCTGAAGTGACAGGTGCACGGGAAAGGTGCCAACACCTGGCTTGGAAAAGCAATAGTTGTGAGCTGGCACATCCCATGGCATGAGGGTGAAATGCTGTATGTAAATGTCTGCCCATGCCTATACTGAGTCGAAGTGCGGCTGCTTATAGAAATTATTGGTTTAATTTGAGTCAGGACCACAGTCCGCATAGCCCCCCATTTGGCCTGCTGACGGCAGGTCTCCAAAATTCCAGGTTAGGCTGCTGCCTAGGCTCTTAATGTATTGTTACCAAGGGAGGTCCCACAGACTGAACTTGGGCCTCCTTTCCTGCGTGCAGAGTTTGTGCTCTGTCACTATGCTGTCGCTCCTCACCTTCAGACCATGAGGTAAGGTGACTGACTCACGGCGGCCCCACAGAGTTCCACCTCATGGGGTTTCCAAGGCAAGAGAGGAGCAGAGGTGGTTTGCCATTGCCTTACTCTGCGTAGCAGCCCCCAGTCTCCCCGGGTGGCCTCCCATCCAAGTACCCAGGGCTCTTTTGGGGCAGGAACGCACAGGAATGGAGTTCCGGCTGGCTCCAGAGTCGGCCACGCCCAGCAGGAACTCATTAGCATAATAGGCCACACCCAACAGCAGGAACTCATTAGGATTGGCTACAATTAGGGGTGTGTGGCCTAACATGCAAAGGAGTTCCTGCTCCAAAAAAAGGCCCTGGGTTTTGACAACAAACAAGGTAAGCAGAATAAGAAGCAAAAGGTGGGTGTGGCTGGATGACCACACTTCTGGTAACATGTGGGTGTGGCCTAATGTGCTAATGAGCTGTGCTGTCGGGGTGTGGCCTAATATGCTAATGAGTTTCTACTGTTGGATGTGGCCTATTATGCTAATGAGTTCCTGCTGGGCTTTTTCTACAAAAAGAGCCCTGCAAGTACCAGCCCTGTTTGGCTTCCAAGCTCTGAGGAGACTGGGCTAGTTTAGGCTATAAGGTTATTGTACTCTGATCATTAGACTATTAGAAATGTTTTGTACAGAACATGGTACTTCACATTCTCATTTCTCATTGGCATCCTCCCTCCCTTCCTCTCGTGGAGGGCATGGGTGATCGTGTTTATGCTCTCATCAGTCCTGTGAGATGGATTAGTCTGAGAGAGAACCACTTGCCACGGCATACTACACATCACGTGGCTCCTGGCTCTCGTGTCTATGGAAACAAGCCTCCGTCTAATGAGCAGACTGACCCTGAGGGTCAAACTGGACATGACAATGGCAGATCAAACGATTTCCTGCTCTATTTTTAAGCTTTAAATTGCAGCTGTGCCAGACCCTGTAGTGGGGCTACAGCATATGAGAGGCAGGATTTAGTCCTTTCCTTCCAAGCTGTATGCATGATCTCTGTTGTCCTTGGGAGAAGAGGGGAGGCTACATGTCTATCAGGGCTCATCTTATACTGAGAGACAGATGCAGACTTCTCGGAGCAACATGATATTCAATATTCCAGGTGACCTTGGGTGAGCTGCTCTTTCTGACATGGGGTGGCGGAGAAGATTATATCTCATCCTTGGTCCTTGATGTCTGTCACACATGCAGTTTAAAGTTCACCAAAAGCAACTTCACTTCCTCTAGGTGTCGAAATAATTTGTTACGAGGGCTGGATCTGACATAAATGTCACTTTGTCCAGTGGGGCCATGTGCGCCATAAAATGTAATGCCAAGTGCAATAGATGCAATATTTATAAAGGACACAGGCAAACCCAATTAATATTATTCTTTTTCTAACATAAGGTGGTCCTTGTTAAGTCATTAAGTGAAGCTTTTGGATTTTCAATCTCCTCCCTCTGGATCCCTTTCTTATCCTTCTTCATCCTCTTCATTGGCCACCTTCTCTTCATTCTACTGATATTTTCTTCCAAGCTAAACCTCAAGTTACTTCTTCCGTTTCGGGACCCTTTTCTCTGGATCTGCCCCTCTGGCACCCACACCACTTCTTCTTTGAAACTGGGTTTTATGCAGTGTTTGAAAAAGCTTCTGACCTCTGCCTTTCCTTCCCCTTTCCCCTTCCTTTTGTGTGTCTTCCCCTTTAATTGTCTCATCATCTTACACTAAGCCTGTGGGCCGAGTTTATCATTTTAACAGGTTTTTTTTACTTGTTTATTTATAGTTTTATAAAATTTATACATCTTATCTTCGTTTTGCATTTGATATTTATGTGAGTCATTGTTATGTTACATTGTCTAACCACGCATAGAACATTTTCCATCTTTTTTCAAATATTTCTTTACTCTTTCCTTGTAATAATAAGCTTAATCTGTCCATTTCTGCTAATGACAACAATTTCTCTATTACTTCTTCCTTTGAGGGTATTTTTTCTTCTTTCCAATATTTGGCTAGTAATATTCTTGCCGCTGTAAAAATATATGTTATTACATATTTATTTATCTTACTATATGTTTCTGGAACTATATTCAATAAAACAATTTCTGGTATAAATGGCACGTTGTCCCGTTATTTTTTTTACCATCTTGTAAATTTTTTGCCAATATCTTTGTATTCTTTCACACCTCCACCACTATTATACAGTGCCTACAGTGTGAGGCACTTTAGCATAGTCAATATCAATAGTAATAAAATACCATTTAATAGCTAAAAGAAAAATAGATCCTGATAATAGGAAGGAAACCTTTGTTGAATGTCTTGTATTTAAAATTGCTCCCTTACATTCAGTTTTTCAGCCTAACTGCAGGAAACGTCCGCCTCTTTGCTTGGTTATGACTCTAGGGTAGATTTTTCTCCTTCCATTATCCTCCTTTAGAGGCTGGAGATCCTTCTTATTGCTCCGTGAGCTTTACCGTTCTTGATAGTCTTCATTTGTAACTTGGGGGGGGAAGAGTGAGAGGATTGCTAATTAGCCGAATCAATTAATGCCGTTTAAATTTCCCATAGCTGGGATGAGTTGTTCCTTGAAGCATTTTTAGTGTTATCTTTTCAGTTACAAAATGTAAAATCACTGCGACTATTATAACTGTTCGTCTATAATTCTTAGGTCTATAGTGCCAAGCACTATAAATTATGAGCTCTTGAAAAACAAACGAGAATTATTCCAGGCATGAAAATTGGAAAGATAAGGGCTGTTCAGAATGTTGAATCTAAGACTCTGAGCATGGTAGTGATTAGAAATTAGTTGGTACTACAGAAGTTCTGGGCATGGTTCAAAAGTTTCTTACAATATGCTCCCTGGGCAGGATGACCTATTGCCCTGGCTTTGTCCAAAGTCCATTGTATGCCTGGTGGCTCACTCCTTCCTTCCATTATCCTTCTTTAGAGGCTGGAGATCCTTCTTATTGCTCCGTGAGCTTTACCGTTCTTGATAGTCTTCATTTGTAACTTGGGGGGGGAAGAGTGAGAGGATTGCTAATTAGCCGAATCAATTAATGCCGTTTAAATTTCCCATAGCTGGGATGAGTTGTTCCTTGAAGCATTTTTAGTGTTATCTTTTCAGTTACAAAATGTAAAATCACTGCGACTATTATAACTGTTCGTCTATAATTCTTAGGTCTATAGTGCCAAGCACTATAAATTATGAGCTCTTGAAAAACAAATGAGAATTATTCCAGGCATGAAAATTGGAAAGATAAGGGCTGTTCAGAATGTTGAATCTAAGACTCTGAGCATGGTAGTGATTAGAAATTAGTTGGTACTACAGAAGTTCTGGGCATGGTTCAAAAGTTTCTTACAATATGCTCCCTGGGCAGGATGACCTATTGCCCTGGCTTTGTCCAAAGTCCATTGTATGCCTGGTGGCTCACTCCTTGATTCCTCTACTCTGTTTCTATCAGTTGAACAGAGAGCCTTGTGTTAAGAGATCTTTATTTAGTGGCTGATCTGCACACAATTCCTGTACACAAGCCAGCACTGGACATTGCATTAAGCAAATGGCGAACTCTGAGACCTGCCCTGTGCCTTCAGTCAGGATCTGTCAGGAGAGAGAAATTTCCTCTGTATAAATGTATTCCTAGGTCTGGCCATACAACACCTTTTAAAAACCAAGAAGATTAGCTCAAGGGAGCACAACCCACTACAAGTGTGCTCCCCCTAGCACTCACTTTACTTGCTGTTCTAAGGCTTTTTGGAAACAATTTTAATGTGAGACCTGAAGAACTTTCTCTTGCTCCAATAATTGGTATTTGGGGTATTGCATTTTCTTAGCCGTCATATGACAGTATTTTCTCATTTTGATAATGTGACAGTTAACATAGATAGTTGCATTTTCTTAGCCGTCATATGACAGTAGTTTCTCATTAATGTGACAGTTAACATAGATACTACCACAGTTATGAATAGAAGTGTGGCTTGTGGTTGTTCAAGTACCACAAGCACCTTTTGGCCAGTGTGTGTGCCACCAACAGTGGTCAGTGACACTGAGTCTGTGAGCTTGAAAGCAGTATTTGAGTTGCAGGGTCAGGGAGGACCCCATTGCATTGTGTGTGCAAGGGGTAGGGGGTGAAGGTATGAACGTCAGATCCTTATTGGGGGGTTGGGGATGATTGTCATTTTCACAAGTCCATCTGTGTTGAGCTAATTTCGTGTCAATCTAACTTCTTGTGCCAGGCAAGAATATCCAGTAGCAAGTCTGTCATGGAATGTGAACGGACATTATGGAATGCTGTCTCTGAAGCAGATCTACTAGTTGAGCAGTTCCCAGTTTCCTTATTTCCTTTTTCAGTCCCCCTAGACCATTGCTTAGTCCTCGGCCTTTTACAAATGTAGTCTGCTGCTTCGCTGTTTTGTAAATTGCATCGGGGTGTTGACTTCTAATTGCTTCATTGAGTGGTGTTGTGGTCAGGTTTGTATTAATGTGTTGAACGGGTAGGAGGAGAAGATCCTCTTTGTTGCAGAGACCCAGCCAGTTAACCTTCTGCTTTGAGTGGCCCACCCTGCATGCAGCTGATGTCTTGAACTTACCGTCTCTCCTAGGTGTGTTTAAGGTGAATATACCAAACGTGTGGCCACTCATAAGAATCTATCGAGGTGGCTTTCTCCTGATAGAATTCCTCTTCCTCCTTGGCATAAACACCTATGGCTGGAGGCAGGCTGGAGTGAATCACGTCCTCATCTTTGAACTAAACCCTCGCAGTAATTTGTCCCATCAGCATCTTTTTGAGGTAAGCCATACAATGGGCAGGCTGGGGTGGTAGAAGTCTTAATCAAATTTCCTTAGATGAGAAATCTAGATCTTGGGCAAGGAAAAATCATATACAGTGCTCCTTAGATCTCGGGCAAGGAGATCTAATTGCTTTCAATATCTGTCCGGTGTGATCATAGTGGTGCAGCTATATTATCTTCAGAATAGATGTAGAAGAATGCAAGATGCCAAGGTTCACAAGAGGCTTTATCTGGGAGAATGGAAAATCAGCTGATTCCAAAGCTTTAAGGGGCAGAGCAAGGTTTGATTACAAATGCGGGCAACGCTTATGTCTTTGCGGAGCCAGTAGCTGAAAGCTTTTAACATCCAGACAGGAATGCATTATCCAGCAGGGGGGCTGAAGAAAATCCACTGCCTCTTGTCTGCATGAAGGAGTTGTGCATTTTAATTTGCAGGCTTCCCTTTTCAGAGTTAATGGTGTCTGAATTCCCTGTTAGGTCGAGGACTTCTAAGTTTGAGAGGAAATGTCCCCTGAGACATAATGCTCTTTCCAGTATGGGTTCATTTGCAATATCAAAGGCTGCTGGAGAACGTAGGTGTCACTAGGACCTGCATTGCACTGTGTTACATTTATGCCATTTTGTTATGAGTCTTCCCACCATTTTGAATTGATACCTTTCAAAGTCCTTAAGGATCGTTCTGATGGATGTCTGTGTTAATGACCCAGAAATGAGAAAGAAAGACCAGAAATTTTTGGAGGGTGGAGGAACATGGTTTTCAGGGGGTTTTGTCTGAGTTCTGAAACAGAATAAAAGGGCACTTTGAGAAAGTGCGAACAAAACTCTAGGAAATAGCACCTGCCAGAATAACAAAACAAAATGCTTTTTAAGCTGTGTATTATTACAACTAATTCATGCTGCTGGTGGCACCTTAGATCCAAAAGGTAATAAAGTCAATGATGGTAGCACTGCTTTTGCATTTTGTTGGGCAGAAGCCACCATCGTAGGCCTTGATACCAGAAAAATATCAGCTGCTGCTGTAGTATACAGAAGGAATCTTCAGGTACTTGGTCCAGGCACGCAGTCAGGGAGTCTGTCAAGTGCTTTGCTCATGCCATATGGTGGCAAGGCTATAACTGATCTTGGTTCTCTCTTGGCTCAGATTCCTCCACCTTCTCCATAAAATGAAAGACACAGGAAGATCCATGAAGTCAGTCTTGCCTAGTTCGACCCCAAGTTATGCTTAAGTATCTTTTAGGGTGCAGCAGCTCACGGCTTCATTGCCAGCTCGGCATCTAATTGTAATGAGCATTGGAATAAAGTTAAGGCATTTGCCTGTATAAATTTCATAAGAATACCAAACAGGACCATTTTATGTGCTGAGTTAATGTATATTACACTTTTGTGTTCTTAGAGTAGTAAAGCGCATTGAAATTGGATTAAAAAATAACAGTGTAATCGTGTGCAGAGTTACTCCAGTTTAAGCCCGTTGAAATCAATAGGTTTAGACTGGAGTAACCCTGCATAGTTGTCATTGTTTGGGTATGTTATATTATAGAATTGAATTGTGGTTTCTCTCCCCCCTTCCCTTCTATCCTATTAGATTGCTGGATTCCTTGGGACATTGTGGTGCCTGAGCCTACTGGCATGTATATATGGTACAACCACCCCTATTTTGATGCAGGTGAACCCACTTATCCTGTATGGATTCATGTTGCTGTTTCTCATTAATCCCACCAAAACCCTCTACTACAAGTCCCGTTTTTGGCTGCTCAAACTCTTGGTAAGCTGAGAAATTGATCGAAGCACACAAACATATGGCTGCATTGAACAGTAATGCAGATTGCAAATGAATCTCGGTGCACAGCATGGTGGGCTGGTTGCATCTTAGCAAGCAGTTTGCCCAGAAATACTTGCTATTAATCGTGATTAATAACACACGCTGTGGGTGCATTAGTGAGCAAAGACAAATTGACAGGGTACAGGCAAAAGAGACAATAGCAAGCTCTTAAGTGAGCAAAATCATTAAAATGCTTAGGAATAGAACAGCTTGTCCAGTCACTGCTGAAATAGGCATCATTCCAGTTGCCCGCTGATTCATCTGCACTATTAATGTTTTTTCCTGAATGGTTAATACTTTGGCTTGTAAGTAAACTCTTCAGTGGGAAATGTCAAAGGTTTTTGTACTGTTGGAATTACTCAGTCTGTATTCACACTTGTCCCCCAGTGCGCACATTCTGATGAATGAAACAGCACCTCTAAAATCTTCTGTCTGTCATAGAAACACAGGATATTTCTGAGTCAACTTAAAGTTCATCTGATTTCAGTATTACTTAACTGTCTTGTAAACCAGTGTAGACCATGTAAAACACTTACCTCGCACATAGTAGGCACGCATTTAGAAATGCTGTTTTACTTTTCTGCCCTTAACCATATTCATTATTTTTGTTTGGTCTGTGCTTTGGCTCTGAAAGTGGTAAACTGGCCCCTAAAGGCATACAGCCATACAGGAAAATATTTCTCAGCTGTATGAAAGAGAGCCAAGCTATATGAGTTCTAGGACTCACACTGCAGACATATCATTTGGTCCCTTAAAAAAGAGCCTGTTAGAAGCTGCTGCTCTGGATCAAGGGCGGAAGCACTGTGTTTGTGTGTGTATGTGGCCTCCCCTGGCACTGCATTAAATGGCCTTAATGGGATGCTTTAAGCTCTGGTAGGGGGAAAAGATAGTGTGGTAACGTGCCTTTTTTCCTATAGAACAAAGTTTGAGTCGATGATTTCCCCCTGTATTATTTATTTATTCACATTTATATTTTGCCCTTCCCGCAAATGGGCTCAGGGCGGATCACAATCAAAATTTAGGCCTTATGGCATCACAACAACATAGTAATTATCATAATTAATTAAAAACCATTAAAACAACCATTAAAAGAACCATAAAAACCATTTAAACAGCCATAAAACTGTTGTTGTTGTTGTTAGGCACAGGGCGGTGCAGAACAGATTAAGACAAACAGAATAATTTAATTTCAATTTACAATAAAATCAACTGAACTTAACGATAGCATAAAATTGCACTTTGTTCCCTCCCTCGGGCAGATGAGGGACTGGTCACGGAGGAGGCCATGATGAGAACCACAGCATGGCCCGTTGCCGTCCTCAACTATAGGCTTGGCAGAACATCTCTGTTTTACACACCCTGCAGAACGGAGCAAGGTCCCACAGGGTGCGGATGTCACCAGGTAGAGAGTTCCACCTGGCTCTGGTTGAGGATAGCTAGATATCTTTTGGGGCCAGGGTCCACCAGTGGGTTTTGATCTTCTGAGCGCAAGGCTCTTCAGGAGACATATGGTGATTTACTGTACTCAAAGTAGCTTGTGGAGAGAGCATTTAAGTGGTGTGAAACAGTACAGGAGGAACACCTAACACACACATTGTTCCCAAACTCTGCAAGTCAAGCCCAAATCACACATCCCACAGCTATTTTTTTAGGGCCAGGCATGGAACTCCAGTGTCACAGGTAATTTGACCACTAATTATTATGCAGTTTGTGCATAAAAGAGCTCCCTTTTTCTCTGTAAAACAGATTTATTCCACAAAGCAGCAGTTCGGTGTTTCTCATGAGAAATAGCTAGTAAGGCTCTGAATGAAGTTGTTCCCTTCAATCCCAGTTTGGCAAAATATATTCAGTGGGTCAGTATTTAGTGTGGAAATCTGTGAGGCCTGAAATCAGCTGCCCTTATACATTATTTTGCAGTCTTGGCTTAATTTACAAATTAAGGAGGAGTGAGCAAAAATTCGACTTCGTGAGCTACTGGCATTAAAGTTGTGAGCGAATGATTCGGCTGCTGCATAAATTTGTTTGCTTTGGAGCCATCCTTCTTGAGCTAGGACCAAAATGTGTGAGCTGGAGGCTAAAAAGCTGTGAGCTAACTCACACTAACTCAGCTTAGGGAGAACAGTGGTCAATACTGCTCTAAGTGGAGACTTCCGGTTTATGGCGACATGGTGGCGGATGCATCTCCTGGACCTCCCGGGGATGTGATCTGCGCACCAGTAGATAGGAGGGGGGGGCGGCGGGTTGCTACCCCCTGGAGCCTTGACAAAATGCTCCTAGCCATGGGGCTTTTGAGGGGTGACCTCTTCGCCAGTGCAATGCTGGGGAATTGAGGCGCTCCTCCGCTCTGATGGTCCTGCTGCTGAGTGTCCGTATGGATCTAGAGCCGCTGACCGGGACAAGCATCAAGAGATTGAGCGTTTTGAACGTGTGCCGAGCGAGGTCGTATGACCAACAATGAACAGTGATTCGGGTTAAAGCGAATAGGAGAATTTAAAAAGAAAGCTACTCCCTGGGAACGGCGAGAAAAGTGAGCGGGGGAGGGCCCCCTCCCATGCGCATGAACTAAACAATGAAATACTAAGGGGGGAGCGGAAGAAAAAGCGTTGAAATCTGTTTTGAGAGACTTACCAGAGAAAATGCAATTAAAAAATCCCCTCCGGGGGGCCAAAAAAAATACTGCTCTAAATGGAATGCTTTCAAAATCTGGGCATGAATAACTAGATAATCAAACTGGGCATCAATAGATAATCCCAGCACTGCCCTTTTAGCATCTAAATGTTAGTTGTTACAACTAACTAGCCAGGAAGATCTGTAATGTAAATGGAGCATGAAATGGCCTAAACTGAGAGACAGGGAGCTGATTCCAGGCCTCGAGGGGAAATGGGCTGGGATTGAGAACTGTCTGTTTACTAGTGGCTCACATTTCTTCCAGTTCTCATGGCTGCAAAAGAGGTTTGAGCCCTGAGAACAAATATTTCCATTGGTGGTCCCGGGTGCCCAGAAAGGTTTCTACACCTGGTGTAGCATGGATAAGACATACAAGTGCTTTACCATCCATATGTCATCTATGCTTGCAAAGATCCCATAAAACAAGTGGGTGGTGGTAGGTTTCCCTCTGTGAAGTTGGTGGCAAAACTCACACGGAATTTTATTTTGGTGGCTGACATTTTCATAGCAAAGCAGAGAATTGAATCTAGCTCCCCAGTCAAACTCTCTGACTGCTGGCTTTACCTAAAAACAGGAGTTTCTATCCATTTATTAAAAGGAACTTTCCCGAGCATTGTGAGAAACCCAAGAGTTAGGCTAGTCAGAAACTCAGAATAAACTGGTATGCTGAGCAATGAATGCTGTGTAAATGGGAGAGCGGGACAATTTCAATCGTGCAGTTCTTATGCTAAGGGCCATGTGCAGCATTAATCTTTCTTACTTTGTTTCAGTTCCGGGTGTTCACAGCCCCTTTCCATAAGGTGGGCTTTGCAGATTTCTGGCTGGCCGATCAGCTCAACAGTCTGGCTGTGATCCTGTTGGACCTGGAATACATGATCTGTTTCTACAGCTTTGAGCTCAGCTGGGGGCACACATGGGCAGACCCAGGTATGGCAGCTTGTGGGGAACGGAAATAGCAAACACCACGTGTGATTACATTTGCACTGTGCATATTGGAAGGTACTTGCTCGTCAGCAGGGTTCCAGCTTTTTGATCAATGGGAAATCATGATGTATTGCCCAGGCATTTGACATACAACCACCTGGATATATTGGTGGTTTATTTATTTGCCTATCTTTATTTATTTGCCTATTAGCAGTTTTGAAGCTAGGGTTTTCAGATCCTTCCTGACAACCGACGGGGGATGGGGGAATTTACCAGGAGCAGGAAGGAGGCCCAGGTGACGTTGCCAGTGACCTATGGCACTTCTAGCATGTGTGTCATTATGATGAGATGTTGGGACGACACTCTGGTCTGTGGACAAAAACTATGGTAAAGATGTCTTCTACCATAGATTATTTTTTTTGCCCAAATACCAGAGTGTTGCCGATGCGATGATGTCACTTCCGGTGCACGTTGGAAGCGATGTCCCCATGTTGCTGGCCATGAAGCCTGGGCCTCCCTCACTCTCCTGGTGAGCCCCACTAGCACTGGCCAGCTGATCAGTGGCAGGGGGTGGGGCCTGGCAGCAGGGGACTCTCTCCACCACTTGGGGGGGGGGTCTGGCAACACTATTTGATGCTGCTGGTGAAAATACATCTGATAGGGAAGTTTCTGTGTCCCAGTTAAAAACCAGAATGACATGTGGTTAAGTTTTTGTGCAGAGAAATTACCATGTTGCATTCTACCAATCTGCTTAGCCAGATTTGAAGCCTTCCTCTGACAAACAAGGCTGCCATCAGATGATTGTCCCAGAGGATTTGGTCAAGTGAAGTGGTGGGATACGCCATAAACAGAATAAACATTTATGTGATGTATGCCCAGGCTGTACTGAAAACCTGAAATTCAAACTGTTGAGTGCTTATTGAAATCTCACTTCTATCAGTTTTGCAAGACCTCCTTTCTTGGTGAAAATGGAATGATTTAAAGACAAATTGGGAAATTTTTTCCCCTCT